TGAACCCTTCATAATTCATAAATTATTATTATTTTGTCATGTTACACTGTCTGACGTCTCCTCCTGCCCTCTTCTCCTACGTAGGCTAGGCTATACGTAGGAGTCATGATGATACTGTCAGATAAGCACTGGACTGCTAGCCACAAGGTTGGGTTTCAAACCTACCAGCTACTCCATGGGAGAAAAATGACACTATTTGCTCCTATAAAGACTTACAGCCTCAGAAGCCCTATGCTGAATTACCGTAAGTCAGCTCGAGTCTCTGACAGTGAGTTTGATTTTGATTTGGAGATTTATTCTGGATTAATCTCAAATTCTGGAATAATGTACTTTTGAGAGGATTAACCAAACAAGCCCTCCCTCTTCAAACACTTTTGTTTAGACACCAGCTTCTCCCAAAGCAGTTCTTTTTCTGATCCTAACCACTTGGAGCTGGCTCAGCGCTCACAAATCGAAGACCACAGTCCTCATAGTGCCCCAATAGGCCCAAGATTTCAAACACATCTACCTACTGGCTGTAAATTAGGATTTTCCTATTACCCTTTAATGGTGCCAACCTCAAGCTCAGGGCCCCTCAGGATCATTTTCTTCTAATTTGCTGGCTACAAACTTGGGGGTTCTTCCTGTTCTAGCTACAAGCTTGGGAGTTCTCAGGCATCTCTTACTTCTGACCTGCTGGCTCCCTGTCCAAGGTGGGTTGGATAATTTACTGGAACAACTCACGGAACTCCATTACAGCTTTATTATAAAGACTGCCAAGCAGGGTCTGCAGAGGGAAGAGATGCATAAGGTGAGGTCTGGGAGGTTTCCCAATGTGCAACTTCCATGTCTCAAAGAGAGGGCATCACCTCCTGAAAACAGATGTTTCTGGGCAATTGGCAAGCTGGTGGAGATCCCAAGTGCAGAGGTTTCATCGGGAGTCCATTCCAGCCTCTCTCCTGAGAGTCCTTGCAATCCCGGCTGATCTTGAGGCTGGCTTTCTAGCCACGTCATGAGCGGACCCTCACAAGGCAGTGCCCTTTAAAAATGGAAGAGTCTTCCATCATATGTTACACTTCATTTACCTATTTATCTGTTGATGGGCAGTTGAATTGTTTCTACTTTTTCAGTATTACAAATAATGAACATGTCTATTGTGCATGTGTCTGTTTGCACCACAGCTTTCAACTCTTTGAGGATGTACCTCGGAGTGGAATTGCTAAGTTAAGTGGTAATTCCACACTAAAATTATTTTTTCATGTGTTTGTAATGAACTTGTGACCTAGAGAATCCAAGTTCACTTTTCCTGCTTTTTGATCTAGCCACTCAGACCAATGTTTAGACCCCAGGAGTAAGGAATCTGGGGGATTTTAAGGCTATGAACCTTCACTCATTAAAAATAAAAATATATATCTGAACTTTTTTTTTAAGAGAAACATCTTCTGTGTAGTTGCACAACCCATGTCATCAAATCAAAGCAGTCGTAGTGTCCTGTTAACCCCCCATAAAGTTTTCCTGTTTCCCTTCGCATCCTTCCTTCTTCCCTCCATCATTTGCCATCCCCGCCTCTCTCTCCGCACCCTGTCCCTGGCCTCCATGTAGTTAGTCTTCAGAGTCTTATCCTTTGGCGTAAAACCACTTTTCTTTTTCTTAGCTTTTCCTTAAGCTAATGGTGTCATTAACTATTTATCTTTATAAGAGTGACTGAGTTTGCTAAGCATAAGGTTCTCTGGTGTGTCCATGTCTTGTGGTGTTTCAGAGAGTCGCCATTGCTTTTTATTGATGCATAAAATTCCACTGTATGAATGTACCAGAGTTTGTTTATCCTTTCCTTTATAATCAGAGTTTTTGGCTGCTTCCATGTTTTTGCTATTATGGAAATTGCTGCAATAAACATAGGTGTGCATGTGTCTGTCACAGTAGAGGGATTACAGGAGCATAAGGTAATTGTGTTTGCACTTGTTTAAGAAAGTGCCACACTAATTTTCATAGGGGTTACCCAATTCTATAGTCCCACCACCAAAGTATGAGCATTCCAATCTCTCCACAGCCTCTCCTGTATTTATTCTCTGTTTTCTGGATTTTGCTCCGTGTGTCTGTGTGAGGTGTTACCTCGTTGTTGTTTTAATTTGTGTTTCTCTTATTGCTAATGAACACAAATATTTCTTCATACAGCTGTTGGCTGCCTAGATGCTATCTTTAGTAAATTATCTATTCATGTCTTATGATGCCCATTTTAAAGTTGGTTTATTTGTATTTTTCTTATTAAGGTGTTGTCATTTTCTATTAATTTTTGAATTAGCCTTTTATCTGATTTATTACTAATTTTTTGATGAGCATAAATGTATTTTCAGAAGGTCCCAGTCCCTTGTTTTGTCTCTATGTAGTGTGGGTCTTTTTCATTATGCTCTGTAATGTATTATGTCTTGTGTTAGGGCCCTTAAGTGAGTTTGTCCCTATTTTTCATTGATGGTCTTTATGGGTGTGGGATTTATATTTAGGGCCATTAAACCCCACCTTGAGTTCAATTTTGTATGTGGTTTGAGGTCTGGGTCCTGTTTCATTGTCTTGTAGGTGAAGATCCAATGTTCCCAGACCATTTATTGAAAATGCTGTCTCTTTTCCACTTAATATGTTTCGGTCCTTTCTCAAAAGTCCGGGGTCTGCACGTACTTGGTTGTATTTCTGGGTTCTTAATTCTGATTCATTGTCCCCATGTCTATCATTGTACTAGTACCAAGCTGTTTTGATTATTGCGACTATATAGAATGTTTTGAAGTATTAGAGTGAAAGCCCTCCTATTTTGTCTTTGTTTTTTTAATGGAGTTTTTATCCTTTATTTTCCATATTCAACATGTTGAGAAACTACCAAATTGTTTCTCACAGTGACACCATTTTACCTTTGCACCAACCGTGTAATAGTGTTCAAACTTCTCCACACCCACATTCGCAATTGTTATTATTTTGGGGGGAGCAATTCCTACCTCACTGTCACTGCCACTGACTGAGTTGATGCTGACTCCTGGTGACCACACAGGACCATACTAATTCAGAAGAACTGCCCTCTGAGTTTCTTAGACCGTCACTCTTTATAGGAGTTGAAAGCTCTGTCTTTCTCCATGAGCAGCTTGTGGTTTTGAACTGTGGACCTTCCAGTCAGCAGCCCAGTGTATAACCACTATACTACTAGACTCCTCAATAGCCATCCTAGTGTGTTTGAAATGGTTTGTTATGATGGTTTTGACTTTTCTTTCCCTAATTACTATGTGGAGGTGCTCTGGGGGCCTAGTGGGCTATGCATGGGACTGCTAACCACAATGTGGTTGGTGGTTCAAAACTACCCTTCCCCCATAGCATGGGAAAGACGAGACTTTCTAATTTTGTGGAAATTTACAGTCTTGGAAACCCTCAGGGTATGGGGACAGTTAGTTCTACTCTGTCTGATAGGGTTGCTATGAAACAGAAGTGGGTTTTTATTTTCTTTCTTTTAAAAAAACCACTAATGATGTTCAGCATCTTTTCCTGTGCTCGTTACCTATTGGAGAAATGTGGTTCCACAGGGAATTGCAACCAGGCTCTGAGGTCTGAGATCTTCAGCAAAGAACAGAATAACCAAGAGACTCGCAGATGAGGGCAGAGTCCAGACAAGAGGCTGCGATAAGAGCCCCAGAAGAACAGAGGCACGGGGCTCAGACTTGGACAGAGCAGTGGCACAGGCGGAGGACCCGCATAGCTTCCTGCTGCTGTGAGCGGATGTGTTTCCCTGGGGAAGCTGCTTATTCAAATATGTGCTTTTTACTCGAGGACTGCTCTTTTTAAAAATTTTTGAGTGAAGTTGGAGACAAAGTCAACTTTGGAAAATACTCTCTTTTGTCAAGTCAAGAAAATACCTTGGCTACCTCATTTTAAAGGGCATATCAATGTAAGAACAAAAGACTGTCTACCTACAGTAATATCTACTATAATGTTTATTAAAAATATAAGCATGTAGTTGAACTGCTTTCCAGGAACTTTTTTGGGGGGCGCCTCTTGCGGCTCTTATAACAATCCATACATCAATTGTATCGAGAATATTTGTACATATGTTGCCATCATTTTTAAGCATACACTTTTTATTTGAGCCCTTGGTGTCAGCTCCATTTTCCCTCCTTCTCTCCCCCTGGTGACCCCTTGATAATTATACATTATTATTATTATTTTCATATCTTACACCGACTGCTGTCTCCCTTCACCCATGTTTCTGTTGTTCGTTCCCCTCGGGAGGGGGCGGGTTATGTGACAATCATTGCAATTGGTTCCCCCTTCATTCCCTCTTCTCCCCACCTTCCCACTACCTTCCTGGTATTGCTACTCCCATTTCTGTACCTCAGGGGTTTATCTGACCTGGATTCGGTATAGTGTGAGCTCTTTCTGTACCAGTGAACATGTTCCAGTCTAGTCAGAACTGAAAGGGGTCATAATAGTGGAGGCGGGGGTGGGGGGGAGGTGAGGAAACCTCAGAAAACTAGAGGAATATTGTGTGTTTCATCGGTGCTATACTGCACCCTGGTTGTCTCCTCCCTTCTTTGTGACCCTTCTGTGAGGGGATGTCCCATTGTCTAGAGATGGGTTTTGCTCTCAGCTCTGACCCCCTTCGTTCTCAATAATATGTTTTTGTTTTGAGTCTTCTGGTGCCTGTTACCTGATTCTGTCGACACCTCATGATCACACAGGCTGGTGTGCTTCTTCCATGTGGGCTTGTTGCTTCTCTGCTAGATGGCCGCATGTTTAACTCCAAGCCTTTAAGACCCCAGACGCTGTATCTTTTGATAGCCGGCACTCTCAGCTTTCTTCACCACATTTGCTTATGCACCCGTTCTGTCTTCAGGGAGGGTGAGTGAGCATCATAGAATGCTAGGTTGTTAGAAAACGTGTTCTTGCATTGAGGGAGGGATTGAGCAGAAGCCCAAAGTTTATCCATTTCCTCAATGTATTGCCATATAACTATATGTCCATAGGCCAATACCTCTATTTTTATGAATGAACATATTTACACGTGTACACCCTGATGTGTATGCCTCTATCCATAGCTTTGCTTCCTGGGTCTTTCCTCTGTTTCCTTTCCCCGAGGACATTGTGGGTGTCCTTGTTGGTCAGTGTTTCCCAGAGGAGCAAGAGCAGTCAGATAGAGAAACCTGTCCTGGGGAAACGGAGATGCATTTGCTTGTTGTTGAGCCCTTCTTCAGATTATTATTTTGTATTTAAATCCTGTGGATAACAACTTGAAGTTTAAATGCTTTTGGGTATAATAGTAAAAGAAGCTCTTGTTGTGAATCATAGAGGGATTAGAGTGAAGAGGAAAGGAGGATATTTATTTTTCTATATTTGCTCATTATATGAAATCATATTATTTAAGTATTCTTTTTTCCAGCCATACCTTGCACATTCAACACACCTTACTGGTGCCGATGTAATTTGCTAGGCATTTGGTTTGGGTTGGGAGACCCAAAGTATAATTAAAGCAAAACCTTAGCCTTTAATGAGCTCAGTGGCTGGTAAGGAAGAGACCCAAGAAACTCACTACCATCAAGTCATTTCTGACTCGCTGCACCCTTACACGACTCATGTAATTTTAATCTAAGGTAGCATGTGTAAAATTCTTAATTTGCTCATATTTACAATGTGAATACAAAAGAACAACAGAAAGGAGATAGAAGGGAGATTGCTTGATGGTCATATAAGTAAAATACTTAAAAATGATCAGTATGGATTCTTAATTATTCAGTTGTTGGAGGTGCTGGGGCCTGAATTGTTTAATGTGGCTCTTCTAGTCAGCGTCTCTAACTCTCACCAAATGACCTTTCCCTGCATGGGTCTGGTGGTAAGAAGGTGAGGGAAGATGCTAACAGGATTCACTTGTGAGTAATTGTGAACAGGATTCTCTGGAGTACTATCCTGCTGTGTATGAAATGAGTCCTCTGAGACGCAGAAAGCAGGATCCCATTACCAGCAAGAGCCAGGAGTGGAGTGAGTCCTCTGGACCCGAGATGCCTGTACAGTAAACCTCCTGGATCCAGAAGACAGCTATAACATCAGAGGAGCAGAAGCAGGTCCAGGAGCCAGATCATGAAGCAGAGTGATGGACTTCCGAACCCACGGAGTTAGTAAAGCTGAGAGCTTTTGTGCAGGAGGCTGGCTCTTGGAGTGGAGTGCCTCTGGGTACTTAATTGAGGAACTTGGACTTGCTGATCCATGGCGCTTAAGCTAAATGGCTTTTCCAGATGAGGCTTACAGTGGAGTGGCATGCCCCTTTGGGCATTTATTAGCATACCTGAAAGAAGTTTGTGGCATTTCTAATAAAAAAACTCAACCTTGAGCATTTCTCACTGGCATTACAACTTAAACTTCCTTAGTAAACTTTTTAATCATGAATTTTGTCTGAGTTCTGTGTAGTCATTGCAATGGATATTAGAATCTAGAGATGAAGTAGAGAATACAAGGGCAAACTTCATGGTAGAGTCGGCTCGAAGTTTTGGTGCCTTCGTGGGTGTCAGAATCGAACTATAATCCATAGGATTTTTTTAATGGCTGCTTTTCCAGAAGTAGACCACTAGACTTTTCTTTCTGTTCTTTGGAAATACCTCTGGGGAGACTCAAACCTCCAACCTTTGCTTAGTAGCCAAGCATGTTAGGCATTTACATCACCCAGGGATTTCCATGATGAATGAGAAAATGAAAACAAGAATCTTGTGAGGATTTAGTTTAAGAAGTCTACAGCTTCCTGCGTGGTGAAGGGGAGGGGCAGTGAAGAAGGGAAGGCCCTCCATGGGGTGGATTGGCACGGTGGCTGCAGCAGTGGGCTCAGGCACAGGAACAATCATGAGGGTGGCGCAGGACTGGGCAGTGTTCGACTCGGTTAGTCACAGGGTCGCTATGGGCCAGATCTGACTACAACAGTAGCAACACAAATTCACAGATACCAAAAGCAAATGTACTTACATTAGTGGAATTTCCCCCCTGAAATGCCCGGAAAACAGAATCAAACTGTGCCCAGAGTGGTGTAACTTTCAGTCAAAACCTGACTTGTAGTTAAGATTTTTCTGAACGTTTACTTATGTGAGATTTGCTTCATATGCTAACAACGATAATAAATACTTTTTTCCCCCCCAGGAGAGCATATCGATTACTGTGGCTATTCTGTGCTTCCTATGGCTGTAGAACAAGATATGCTAATAGCCGTGGAACCTGTGCAAACACCCACTCTACAGCTGGCCAATACAAACCCTATCTACCTGTGAGTATTTAGGGTCGCTTCTCGGAGGACGCAATGGTTAAGCCCTCAATGTGACCCGAAAAGTTGGCACTTTGAACTCCCTGGGTGGCTCTGTGGGAGAAAAACCTGGTGATCTGTGCCCATACGATTCCAGCCAAGCAACAGCCATGGAGCAGTGCCATTCTGGCACTTGCAGCCGCTACGAATCAAAATGGACCTGATGGCGCCAACCACCAGGCACCTCAAGTGTGTCTGTGCTTTGGGTGCATGTGTGTGCTGTTGCTGTGCTTGTACCCAAGTGAATTTAAAAAGTCATTTTATTGGGGGCTCACACAACTCTTATCACAATCCATACCTACTCCATTGTGTCAAGCACATTTGTACATATGTTGCCATCATCATTCTCAAAACATTTGCTTTCTACTTGAGCTCTTGGTATCAGCTCCTCATTTTTCCCCTCCCTCCCTCATGAACCCTGATGAACCCTGGATAATTTATAAATTACTATTATTTTTCATGTCTTACACTGACCTATGTCTCCCTTTACCCACTTTTCTGTTGTCCGTCCGCCAGAGAGGGAGTTATATGTAGATCCTTGTGATTGGTTCCTCCTTTCTACTCCACCCTCCCGGTATCCCCACTCTCACCAATGGCCCTCAGGGGTTTATGTGTCCTGGATTCCCTGTGTTTCCAGTTTCTATCTGTACCAGTTTACATCACCTGGTCTAGCCAGATTTGTGAGGTAGAATTGGGATCATAATAATGGGGTGGGGGTTGGGGTGGGGTGGGGGAGGAAACATTTAGGAACTAGAGGACAGTTGTATGTTTCATCATTGCTACACTGCACTCTGACTGGCTCGTCTCCTCCCCGTGACCCTTCCGTAAGGGGATGTCCAGTTGCCTACAGATGGGCTTTGGGTCCCCACTCCACACTCCCCCTCCTTCACAATGATAAGATTTTTTGTTCTTTGATGCCTGATACCTGATCCCATCAACACCTCGTGATCACACAGGCTGGTGTGCTTCTTCCATGTGGGCTTTGTTGTTTCTCAGCTAGATGGCTGCTTGTTTACCTTCAAGCCGTTAAGACCCCAGACACTATATCTTTTGATAGCTGGGCACCATCAGCTTTCTTCACCACCCGCTTTGTCTTCCGTGATTGTGTCAGGAAGGTGAGCATCTCAGAGTGCTGATTATTAGAACAAAGTGTTTTTGTATTGAGGGACTACTTGAGTAGGGGTCCAATGTCCATCTGTTTCCTTAATACTAAACCTATAAATATATGTACGTAGAACTACATATGAAAACTACATGGGAAAGTTGTATGTTTCAGTGGTGCTCTACTGCACCCTGCCTGGCTCGTCTCTTCCTTGTGACCCCTCTGTAAGGGACTCTCCAGTTGCCAACAGATGGGTGTTGAGTCTCCATGCCACACTCCCTCTCATTCACAATGATATTATTTTTTGTTCTGGGTCTTTGATGCCTGATACCTGATCCTATGGACACCTCATGATGCCAAAGGTTGATGTGCTTCTTCCATGTGGACTTTGTTGCTTCTCAGCTAAGTAGGCGCTTGTTTATCTTCAAGCCTTTAAGACCCCAGATGCTATAACATTTGCTAGCCGGGCACCATCAGCTTTCTTTACCACATTTTCTTATACACCCATTTTGTGTTGGGAAGGTGAGCATCACGGAATGCCAGGTTCTTAGAACAAAATGTTCTTGCATTGGGGGAGTACTTGAGTAGAGACCCAATGTCCGTCTGCTACCTTAATATTAAACCTGTAAATATATGTACTTAGATCTATTTCCCTATCATTATATAGAAATATATTTACATATGTACATGTCTGTACTTAGACCTCTTTACATGCCCTTTGTCTCCTAGGTCTTTCCTCTATTTCCGTTTACTTTCCTCTTGTCCCATTATCATGTTTGGCCTTCATTTGGGTTTCAGTAATTCCTCTCTGTTAACATTGTCCTTGAACAAGCCTTACCAGGCATCCTACGCTCTCCTCACCATCGATTTTAGATACTTGTTGTTCCCTGGTTCCTGGGTTTGTTAACACACACTTCCTAAGTGATTTCTGTAGGAGACACCTGTTTAATTAATTGGAAATTTGTATCTGACTTTGAAAAGAATCTAAGGTAACTAATTAACTTTATTTATACATGGGCTTGTCATGAGTTAGAATTGATTTGACAGCAACTATTTCCACCCCCACCCTCAGGTAGTTTTTCTTTCTTTTTATTAAAAATTTTTTAAACAGTTTTCTTGGCACATAACTTACATATAATATACTTCAACAGTTCAACTGTTCAATCATATCAAGGAGAATTGTACAATAATTACCACATCAATTTTAGAACATTCCCCCCCCCTGGTTAAACTGCCCCTAAAATGAGTTCTGCAATCACAATCAATTCTAGTGCTCCCTGCCCACTCCTCCACCTCCATTCTCCCCATTTCCCCCTAATGACAGCAACTATCTTGTTGTTGTTCATTTATTCAAGAAAGATGCACAAAGATTAAAATAACTCTGCCCTCGCCCATAAGGTCTTTATCATCTATTGAAGTATGCCTATCTCCAGGAAACTCAGGTCAGGTGCATTTCCTATGTTGCCATACACCCTTTCCTAGCATCTGCCATGCTGTGTTACTCTCTGGTTATTGATCTGAGGTCTCAAGTCTATTGCAGACTCTGTGACTTCAGGTACAGTTGCTTCTCCATGCTCTGGCCTCTGATACATAATTGATATACATTTCTGGTACATATGCTTTATCACACTGAGGAAGTTTCAAAAAATTATTCATTTGCTATGATTAAAAAATGAGTACTGAATTTTATCAGATGTCTTTTTAATATTGAAGATTTGTTTTTAATATGGTGAACTACTTTGAGGGATTTTTCTACTGTTGGACTATCATTACGTTCCAGGAATAAGCCTTCCTTGTTTACAATATATTATGATGGATTTGATTGACTAATTAGAAAGAGAAATATTTTGATGTAAGGCTGGTATACTTATTATATTCCTGGTTTATTGGATCATTTGCCTTTAATACTGTTTGTTTATCCAGCAAAACTTTTATGAGTGCCTTAGATCAGAGAGAAAATTCTTGATTTTACGTATAATTTTTGCTATAAAATTATTTTTTTCCTACTCATTTTGCATAGTTGGGAATTTATTGTGCACCCTTTAAAGAAAACTATACATTACCTCAAGCACCTCTCTTTGGAGATCAACACTTGCCAGTGATTGCGTGATGTTTTGTCATATTAATTTACTTAAATTGCTACAGTGATAGATATGGTCTCTGTCTCATTTTCCACAAAAGCAGAACCTGAGATAGATGAAGGAGTTTACTGGGGCAATGATGCCAGGAAGAAGTGCAGAGGGGACATGGAGGAATGAGTTAGGAAATCAGCTGTGAATTACCAAGGTCTCTGTATAGACAAGGGGCTTGACTTCTCCCATCACCCTATGAGTGGCAGCATTCCTCCCAGAATTGTCCACATTATGGATAGTATTCCAGTGCATGTTTATACCTCAGTTACTTTTATTTATTCACCTATTGATGAATAAATTGGTGTATTTCCAATTTGGGCTTTGAGGAATAATGCTGCCATAAACATTCATGTATAAATCCATGTGTGAACATAGTTTCATTTCTCTTGGGTCGATACCTATAAGTGAAATTTTGGTTATGTGGTTTATGTGTATTTATCTTTTTAAGACACTGCCTATTTTCCAACATGAATTTACCATTTTACATCCCCATGTATTAGAATTCCAGTGCACCACATATTTGAAAATTGGTAGTATTTTTAATTTTGTTTTTTTCTCACAAATGTGAGTAGCGTCTTTTGGCTTTTAGTTTTTATTTCTATAACAACTAATGATGTTGAATATCTTTCCATGTGTTTATTTGCCTCTGGACACCTTTTATATTGAAGAATCTATTCTAATCTTTTTATCATTTTAAAATTGGGTTGTGTACCCTCCAATTATTAGGCTGGAATAATTTGTTGCTGAATGTTCTAAATGTAAGTCAGGTGTCTGTTCCATGCAAATACTTTTTCCAGTCTAGTTTGACTTTTCATTTTTTTTACATCTTTTCAGGAAGTAAAATTTTTCATTTTGATGAAATTTAGGTTATTGATTTTCTTCTTTTGGTATTTGTGCTTTTTGTATGTATTTAAGAAATCTGGACCAATATCAAGGTTACCAAAATATTCTTTGATGTTTCATCTTGAGTTTTATAGTTTGAGCTCTTGCATTTAGTCTGTGGCTCATTCTGAATTAACTTTTTTTGTTATGATATGTGGTAACAGTTGAAATTAATTTATTTTTGCATGAAATTAATTAAGTTTGTTATGATATGTGGCAAAAAATTAATTTTTTTTGCTTATTCAGTGTTCCAGACTATTCTTATTAAGATGATTGTATTCCTTTGAATTATCTTGACATCCATGTTGAAAATCTATTGACAATATTTGGGCTTTATGGACTTCATTCTGTTTCATTAGCCTATTTATCTAACTTTACACCAATGTTACAGTATCTTGATAACTATAACTTTTTACTGAGCCTTTAAATTAGAGCTAATTTTGTCTATCTTTTTCAAAATTGTTTTTGGTTATTTTAGTTCATTCGATTCTGTACAAATTTTAGAATCTTGAAGTCAGTTTTTATGGAAAAAACATGCTGAGATTTAGATTTGTATTACATTAAAGGTATAGATCAATCTGGGGGAGAATTTACATTTTGACAGTATTGGATTTTCCAATCCATGAATATAGTATATCTCTTCCTTCTTTGGGGTCTTGTTAAATTCCTTCCAGCAGCCTCAATGGTTGCCAGGTTTCACTGAGAAAATGTGGGTGAGTGGAAAATAAATGGTACTAGGGTTCCTGGTCATACATGTGCGATCTATTACAAACAAAGCATCTTTAAACTGCCCGGGGATCAGTGCAGAGGGCGCAGACAGTGCTTTTAGTACTAGATTTTGCTCAGTT